GATCAGAAAACTGGAATTTTTTTTTATTTTATTGAATCACCATGAGATAGTCACAAGCTTTCGTGTTTGGGTTACAGTCACACAATGATCAAACACCCATCCCTCCACCAGTGCACATTCCCCACCACCAATCTCCCCGGTATACCCCCCCTTTCCCACCCTCCCCCTGCCTCCATGGCAGACAATATTCCCGATAATCTCTCTCTCTCTACTTTTGGGCATTATGGTTTGCAATACAGACACTGAGAGTTTATCATGTTTGGTCCTTTATCTATTTTCAGCACACATCTCCCATCCCGACCGGTTCCTCAAGCCATCATTTTCTTAGTGATCCCTTCTCTGGTCCAGCTGCCTTCTATCCTTTGGTGATGAGGCAGGCTTCCAGCTATGGAGCAATCTTCCTGGCCCGTGTATCTACTATCCTTAGGTGTTAGCCTCATATTATATTGTTTTATACTCCACAAATGAGTGCAGTCCTTCTATGTCTGTCCCTCTCTTTCTGACTCATTTCTCTTAGCATGATACTCTCCATGGCTATCTATTTATAAGCAAAGTTCATGACTTCATCTTTCCTAACAGCTGCATAGTATTCCATTGTGTAGATGTACCAAAGTTTCTTTAACCAGTCATCTGTTCTAGGGCACTTGAGTTGTTTCCAGATTTTGGCTATTGTGAACAGTGCTGCAATGAACATATAGGTACGGATGTCATTTCTACTGTGCTTTTTTTGCATCCTCAGAATATATTCCCAGAAGTGGTATTGTGGGGTCATATGGAAGCTCAATTTCTAGTTTTTGAAGGACTGTCCATATTGTTTTCCAGAAAGGCTGGACTAGTGGGCATTCCCACCAACAGTGAAAGAGTGTCCCTTTTTCCCCACATCCACGCCAGCACTGGTTGCTTTTGTTCTTTTGAATGTGTGCCAGTCTCTGTGGTGTGAGATGATAATTCATTGTTGTTTTGATTTGCATCTCCCTGATGGCTAGTGAAGTGGAGCATTTTTCATGTGCCTTTTGGCCATTTGTTTTTCTTTTTGAGGAAACTTCTGTTCATTTCTTCTCCCCATTTCTTGATGGGGTTGGAGGTTTTTTCCTTGTACAATTCTACTCGTGTCTTGTATATCCTGGATATGAATCCCTTATCGGATGGATATTGGGTAAATATTCTTTCCCATTCCGTGGGCTCTTTCTGTATTTTGGTCACTGTTTCTTTTGAAGTGCAGAAACTTCTTAGTTTGATGTAGTCCATTTGTCTATGTTTGCTTCCACTTGCATGGTCAGTGCTGTTTCGTCCTTAAAGATGCTTTTGGCTTCCATGTCATGGAGATTTCTACCTACATTTTCCTCCATGTACCTTATAGATTCATGTCTGATATTGAATTCTTTAATCCACTTTGATCTGACTTTTGTGCTTGGCGTTAGACAGAGGTCAGAGTTCGTTTTTTTGCAGGTAGCTAGCCAGGAAAACTGTAATTATTTGAGTGGGCTTGTGGGTTGGACCTGGAAGGAGGGATCTGAAGGAGAAACCAATCTTGCCTATGAAAAGTTACCTCATCCACAGAAGGGCCTTTGCTTGGTTTTCTCAGCCCTCTGTAGCTGCATTCACCGTATCAAGCTAAATAAATAAATAAAATTAAAAACATAATAATTTCATGCTGATTTTAGATACTGTGGTGCCAAACACAGATACGTTATTTTTTATGCGAGATGGAGTCTTTTGTTTTGTACAGTGTTCTAAGTTGCTGATTTTCAGAAAACTTTGGTGCCTAGCCAACTTGAAAAATCAGTGCTGAGCGCTCAGAATCAAAATCTGAACAATTCGTCCATTCCTGGCTGCCTTGCAGAATTGCTAATTTTTGCCTTCACTTTTTGTCTGTAAAAAATTTAGATATACAAACACACTCATCTTTGTCTATGTATCCTCTGTATTCCTCTATAAGCTTTATTTAGAAGTGATTTATGTGTCCCATAACCATCCTTTAACAGGATAACTCAGTGATTCTTAATACATTGAGAGTTGTACATTACTACATCAGTTTTAGAATGTTTCCCCACGAAGAAACCAATAACCAATAGCAGTGAGTTTCTCCCCATCTGCCTTGACTTCCTCTCCTGTCCTAAGCAACTTGCCTTCTTCATAGATCTGCCTGTCCTGGGCCTTTTTTGTAAGACATCCTACAACATGTTTTTGATTTTTTTTATTTTAATTTTTATTAGTGAGACACCATGAGGTACAGTTGTAGACTTACAAATTTTTGTGCTTGGGTTTCAGTTATACAATGATCAAGTACCCATCCCTCCACCAGTGCCCATTTCCCACCACCACGGATCCCAGTATCCCTCCCACCCCCCGTCCCCTCCATCCCACCCTGCCTCTGTGGCAAGGCATTCCCCTCTGTTCTCTCTCTCCTTGTTTTTGATTTCTTTCACTCAGCGTAGTCTTCAGGGTTCATCTCTGCTGTGGCATGTGCAGGTACTTATTTTTATTGCTTACTGATGATCCTCCATTTTTGGATGATACCCACTGCTTATCCTCTCATCAGTTGATGAGCATTTGGATTTTTTCCACTTTTTGGCTGCTCAGATTAGTGCAGCTGTGAACATTCCTGTGTGGGTGTGTGTGCGCCAAAGGATGTTTCTGTCTTTCTTGGACACATACCTGAGAATGCAGTTCCTGGGGTACACGAGAAGTCTCTGTTTCTCTTTCTGAGGACCTGCTAGGCTGTTTATCCACACAGCTGAGTAGTCTCACCTCTTATCGGTAATGTATGATGCTCCTGTTTCTTTTTATCTTTGCCAACACTTGTCATTACCCATCTCTTTTGCTGTATTCATCCTAGTGGTCATAATGTGGCATTTAGTTTGGCTTTGCAGTTCCCTGATGGCTAAGTAGACAGTATCAAACCTCTTCATGCAAGATAAAAAATGATTTTGCCTTAGTACACATTGCAGGTAAGGCATTTGCCTTGCATGCGGCTGACATGGCTGACCCAGGTTCGATTCCTCTGCTCTTCTCAGAGAGCCCGGCAAGCTACCAAGAGTATCTCGCCCGCAGGGCAAAGCCTGGGAAGCTCCCTGTGATGTATTCAACATGCCAAAAACAGTAACATCAAGTCTCACGACAGTGCTACAGTGCTACATTATAGTGGAGACACTATAATAAGCTGTTTGATTTTAAATATTATATTTTGAATTATAATTTTTAAGTGTGTATATCTTTTGTTGGATACAAAGCATGTTCAAATGAATCATCTCATTTAATCTTCAATAATCACTTTGGGCCTGGAGAAATAGTACAGCGGTTAAGGTATCTGTCTTGCACGTGGCTACAGCCATGACCATAGTTTGAATCGCAGCACTGCATATGGTCCTCAAGCACTGACATGTGTGGAGCCAGGACTAATGCCTGAGTACCACTGGGTGTGGCCCCCAATAGCAATAATGTTAGCTTCTCTTTGGATTCTATAGAGCCTTATTATGGTTTGAAAACATTTTATTTTTTATAAGCAAAGTAAAGAATCCAGCCTCTAGCAGCCAATTTGACTGGGACGGTGGGGGGCAGCCTAAGTGGGGTTCAGGAGGCTTACGGGGTAGTGCTTGAGGGGTGGGCGCTTTAGGGCTACTCCCAACAGTGTAATGCCTGGGGAGGGCCATGTGATGAGGGCCATCAGACTGAGGTTGGAAGCATGTTTTGATATACCCATGTTTTGATTTAAAAAAAACCAGAGCTCACTGGTTCCTGGCAACTGATTTGATAATAAAATGTGCTCTGAAGTTCCAAATGCCTAACAAATGAGTCCAGAAGTCAGCCTTCTCTGAAGCCAGGGTATTGCTGGGTAGCAAGCTCATTCCTGCAGATGAGTAGACCATGGAGAGCAACAGTCCTGGGTCCTTTCCAGGAGGCCCATGACGGAGATTGAAAACTCAACAGGGTCAGTGTGGGAAACTCCTTGAGGAACAGGTTAGCATAAACAAGATGCTTAGAAATCCACGTAGCATTGAAGATGCCTCAGGAAGGTGGAGATGTTCATATGCAATACTCTAGCATTTTCCATCATAGCAGGCAGCTGAGCAGTAGGGTTTGTGGCAGGTAGGAGGAACAAGGACCCATACAGCAACAGGAGGCCATCAGAAACAAGTGCCAGCACCCTCTGTGTGGCGGAGCAAGACCTTGCCAGTGAGGGACCAGGGTGATCAGGAGAGAATAGTGTACAAGAGTCCCTGAAGAATTCAAAGTCAGCTTCATGAAGACAGCATGGAGCTGACCTGACAACCATTTGGTCTCACAGCACAGGAACTTGTCTCTACCACTCCAACTTTTTGTTTTTATTTTTTAATTTTTACTGATTGAGGTCCTGTGATGTACAATATTGTTAAATGATTGTTTCCCATGTACGTAATTCCGGTACTACACCCATCTTCAATGATGCTCAGGGGTTACTCCTGGCTCTACAGTCAGAGGACCACATAGGATACAGGAGATCAAATCCAGCTTGCTATGTGTGCAAGTCAAATGCGCTATCCGCTGTACTATCACTTGGATTTTTTTTTCTAATGGTCCCCTGAAATTCAACACCAAGAGAGCCTCTACCTGACTACCTACTGCAGGTTCAATGACTTTAAGTGAGAATGTCTCCATTGAAATGGAAGTTCAAAGTTTCAAGTACTCTGGTCTGAGGGAGTACCTCTGACTCGCTGGGGAGGAAGTAGCCTGGTGCCTTTGCCCTGGAACCAAACTCTTCTGTTCTTTCTTAGGCTGTCATTCTTCCAGAACTGGACAAGAGGCCTTGATTGCAGGGGCCTGGCCACTGTGTACTTGTCAAGGTTATATATTATCAGACAAAAGCTACAGTGTCCATCCGCAGGCCACGTGGGAATATTTTAGTCAGTTCTCTCAATCACCACAAATTCCATAATGGGATCTCAAAGTTTGTATGTTTAACTGTGATTTAAAAAAAAAAAGAATAACCATTCATATCGATTTTTCTATTTTAACCCAAGGTATTCTTCAGCAGAAATAAGGAAACAATTTACGCTGCCACCAAATCTTGGCCAGTATCATCGACACAGCATTAATACCTCTGGCTTCACTTCTCTTCAGCTAGTAAGTATAAGTCGGCCTGGACTGCTGGTTCCCCTGAACTCTTCCCGCTCACGGCTAACTTCTGACTTGCTCTGGCATTTTTTTTAACCTCTGTTTTCCTCTCTCCTTCCTTCAAGCAGAAACTTGAGTACAAAACAGACCTCTGAGGGTTTGCATTTCAAGGAGCCTTTTAGATTTGGTGGACTTCCATTTTGATTTTGATTTCACTGACATTTTGATACCTATTTTGGGAAGAGAACAAATAGTCTGAAACCTTCCCATCATTAATAATGTGCATTGATTAAAAAAAATCTATCTATCCCCAAATCTATATCTATAGATATAGACTCCAAAGTCTATATATACCTATAGATATACATATCCCCAAATATGAAAATATACAAGATACAAACCATATATTTTTTTAAATGACAGGAACAGATTCAGTTTATTTATTTATTTATTTTGCCTTTTGGGTTACACCCAGCGATGCACAGGGGTCACTCCTGGCTCTGCGCTTAAGTAATTATCCCTGGCATTCTCAAGGGACCATATGGGATGCTGGGAATCGAATCCGGGTTGGCTGCGTGCAAGGCAAATGCCCTATCTGCTATGCTATCGCTCCAGTCCCACAAACCATATTTTAACCTGATTTTTAGGGAGTATAATTTGCATATAATGACATCCATTCATTTTAGTTGTACAGTTTGTTGAATCTGGTTAACTTACTGTTATTCAGCCTTTTCTCTGACCCTAAAAAGTCCTGTATGGGCTTGTGTAATTTCTTTCTTTTACTTTCCGGGGTGCTTTCCTCTCTCTGGAGAAGTCCAGTTTCTGTCTTGAATGAATCACTTCTCAACTCTCTTGTGTTAATAAAATTTCTTTACTTGAAAAAAAAATTTTTTTCCCCTTGCATCCCTCCACAAGTCTGTCTCACTTCCCAGACCTCAGCTCCTGGCAATCACTGAGATGTTTTTGTACCATAATTTTGCTTTCTCTGCAACTTCCTATCTTTGGACTCAGTACCAAGCCTTCATTTTAAAACACAACACCCTTTCTTAGATGCAGGAAGATTGTCTGTGTTGTTCTGTGACCTCGTATTCTGGGTGTGCTGATATGTGCAGTCATGCTTGAGGCCTAAATGCCAGCCCTATGTCTAGCAGCAGGACTTCAGTGAGAAGGTTTCTGCAAAACCAGAAGTGAGTGCTCACTTCCTGTGCCTGGTGGGACCACCCTCTCTGTGCTCACTTCCTCACCCTGTACAGGGGTGCTTTGCTTTCTTGCTTCTTCCAGCGGTTATCTTGAGGAGGTTAGTTTTTTTTTTTTCTCACTTACTACTTCAAAACCACTTCTGCTCTTAGAAATTTTGTAACCTTCCTCTGGGTTTCCTGGGTTTCCTGTTGCCGCCATTTTCTCTCCTCTTAACAATCTACCCGCGGAATAACTGTAGCTTTCAAAGGTATGTTCATGAGAGTGATTTATGGTCATTTCAATAGGATAAGGTGTTTGTGTCAAGGGGCTGGAATCATGGGACTGAAAAATATCTATAGCACCTTTTACTGCAAGAAGTGCAGTGGTGCCTTTCTTTTAGAAAAAAAAATCTAATTATGACTTGCTAAGATGTTCCTCCTATGAGTACTTTTTTCTGTTTCTGACGTTATGGTTAAAAGAACGTCAAGGGAATATGGTTCGCGTGTGTTGGGCGAGATGAGATCAACTTAACTTTAAAAAGTAAATTTAAAAAACAAATATATTTCATTGAGAACCCAAAAAATGTAAACTTCCAAATGAAATTGTGTGGTTTTGAATATGCACAAGTTAGTTATAAATTGACTGGTGCACCTTTTGTATTTTAAGCAATGTGTGTGTTGGCCGGTTGACGGCGAGGAAAATTTGGTACTTGGCTCTTATTTTTGTGCATGGAGAAGGCAGACGTTGGCAACAGTTATCTTGAGAAATGGTGTGGACATCATGATTGGGAGGCTTTAAGGAAGTTCAGCTCGTAGACCTTAACCCTTTCTCTATGTTCTGTCTTTTACTTTGATGGTGTAGCCTTAAATTTCTTCAGGAGAGACATTTTTCCCCCCCTAAGCTCAGAAAAAATATTTAACTTGGGAAGAGTCACAGGGAAAAAACATTGCATCATATTTTCAGGTATTCTGGTTAAGCTGCTTCGGGAAACTTTGATGAAAGAATGTTTCAATGAATTAATTAGCTACGTGGTCAAGCTAACATGTGATTTGACTGCCTGTTTTCTGAGAGAAGTGGCAAACATAACTTAAAATGCATTTGGAGAATATGTGTTCCTTTCTATCATAAATTTTTTTTTCTGGTTTGCACATGATTCACCCTTAGACTATATTACCCTTAGATGTTACAGTTTAGTTTGTAGAGAACCTGTTCCCAGTCTTTGTCCAGCCTTAGCACAAATTCTTACCCCAGATCTTCTTTTTAACTGCCTAAATTTCAAAGGGCTGAGAAAGGTACCAGGAGAATTTCTGATTCCATATATATATATATATATATATATATATATATATATATCTCTGAAAACACTGAGCCTGTTCCTGCTTTGGAAAGCCCCTCCTTGCTTGTCATTATTTTTTTGTTTTTTTTGGGGGGGGGTCACACCTGGTGGTGCACAGGGGTTACTCCTGGCTCTGCACTCAGGAGTTACTCCTGGCGGCGCTCAGGGGACCATATGGGATGCTGGGAATCGAACCCAGGTCGGCTGCGTGCAAGGCAAATGCCCTACCCGCTGTGCTGTCGCTCCAGCCCCCTGCTTGTCACTATGTAATGTCAGAATGAAGTGATTGTTTTCTCTCTCAATTCATTTTCCCTAAAGAAGTTCTCTCCAACAGAACTCATCAACCCACATAGCAATTTTCTTTTTCCTTTAATTTTTTTTGTCTTTCATGAAAAGATAATGAATCATTTTCATTAATTTTCATTTCTGGCGAGGAAGATTACTTTATACCAAGCCTCACACCCTAAAGAAGAAGCTTTTAAAAACTTTCCTTAAATAATTGCCCAACTGACTCAGAGAGCCCAGTTGGTTGCAATTGAAAAATAAGACAGTACAATCTGACCTTTGTCTCACAGATTTTTATATAGTCACTGTTTCAACAACCCTGCGTGCAAGAACTTGTGATAGTCCAATTTTTGCTATTCACTTGGCTACACATTATTTAAAATCCAATCAGTTTTCAGATGGTTATTTTGCAAGAAACTCTGAATCTTCATAGAGCTGGGGTGAAGTCCATATGCCGTTTGATAGATATATTAATTTGAACAAGTTATTCTACTTCTGTGGACGCTTCAGTTTCCTCATTTGCAATATTGGATTAATAATGCCACCCCCATTTGAGTTAATATAGAATTACACCGGGGATGCTGTGTAAATAAATACTGCCTCGCATTGCTTGTCTGTGCCCTTTGTGGAGATACCATGAGAAATTAAAAGGAGAAGATGACCAGGAGAAAAGTTCAACTTCTGAACGACCTTGAAATTTTTTTTTAGAGAACTGATTACACAGAGAAGCTATAGAGGCTGCCAATATGCCAGATGCCCAGAGGAGAGAAAGACCATGATAATTATAGGAGGAAATGACCCGTCGAGGAGAGAGGAAAAGACTCTGAGGAAAGTTTTGAGCTCTTGCTGTACATTAGGGCATTTGGAAACATCCCTGTTCCCAGGCTTATCCTAGGGTTCAGTTGCAGAAGAATCTCCGTGTTAGAGGCTGGAGCAATAGCATAGCGGGTAGGGTGTTTGCCAGGTTCGATTCGTAACATCCCATATGGTCCCCTGAGCACCGCCAGGAGTAATTTCTGAGTGCAGAGCCAGGAGTAACCCCTGTGCATCGCCGGGTATGACCCAAAAAGATAAAAAAAAAATCCTGATGTTAAACTTGGGCCCAGGCATCAGTATTTCAAATTTCCCTGGACAGGGCTGGAAAGGAAGCTCAAAAGGCTGGAGCAGATGCTTTGCAGGAGAGTGTCCCAGGCTTGATTCCCAGCACTTTAGGGTTCCCTGAACACCACCTAGCACTCCTGGGTGTTGCCCCCTTCCCTCAAGCTAGACAAAAGTTCCTTGGAAAATATGACAGGTATTCTAGTGACAGGTCATTTAAAAAACAGTCGGAGGATCTGAAGATTTTGTCTGTCGACCCAGGCTTAAAAAGGGAGAGGGGAAGGCTTGGGACACCATTGGAGGGACCTGGGCTCTGGCGATGGGTGTGGTGAATGATGCAGGTGTGAAAGTGTAATTAACAGGATTGTAAATCCCGATACCTCAATAAAAGAGTTTTTTTAAAAGAACATGTATAGATAGAAATCTTCCAACTAGGAAGAACACAAAGGCAGTTTCTTTTGCTATCCTGCTTACTCTGGATTTTGCTGTGAAGCAAGGACTGTTCACTGGCCCTTGGAAGGATAGGTACTTAGAAAAATCTAGCAACTTCTGTTGTAAATCTGGTAAGTCAAATGAGAGGACACCTGTGTTGGGTTTTGCTTTTTTTTTTTTAACTTGTTATCTATGTTAACAGTGATGATGGTATATATACATATGTTTTTTAAAAGGTCAAGTATTTTGCATATTTGGAAGGGGGTTCTCCCAGGTGATGTTGGGGTGGGGGCCACTCCCAGCAGGCCCAGCCATTCAGGCTCTATGAGATGCTGCCCACGCCTGAGATGCTGGGGGACTCCAGTGCTTAGGCTCCAAGGTTCTACGTGGGAATATCCAGGGGGCCATGTGGTGCTAGGGATTAGTTGGGTGGATGCAAGGCATGTACTCTGTACTCTCTCCCTGTTCAGATTTTTCACTTTTGAGTAAAAAGAACACCCATCATCCAGAGCTGTTTTTTTTTAATCAGAAATGCTGATAGATTTGCCCTTGAATCTTTGAAATACAGACTTCTTTGTGGTCAGTGCCAGAGAATGGCCTTCTGTACAGAATTTCCTGCATGGAAAAAGTTGGTAGCCTTGACATTTCCCATCTCCTCGGCCATGTTTACAGGTGGCCA